ACCCCTCCCATGATTGTAGATTTCTAAAGAGGGATTACCATGTGAATAGAAAAAACTACAAGCAAAAAGAACAAAAAACCAAAAACCTATTGTCATTAGTAAGAGCAGCTAACTAACAGGAGGAGTTGGGAAAACATATCTCCTCAATAGATAACAGACAACACTGGACAATTAGAAAGAGCAAGCAATAGGGATGCAAATATAGACATAGTTTGTGGGATAGAAGACCTTGATTAAAGTCAAGCATGATGACTGCTTCCCTTTATTTAATAAGGCAACCATGTGATTAAGCAAATGATGTAATTAGAAGGCATTGATAAACAGGTTTTGATCACATGAAAAAGGGCTAGAGGGAACCTTCTACAAGTTTTTCAATTGTAATAATTTTATTTGTGAAATGTTAATGGTTTACTTAAAACTATGAATACACCTTCAGTATGTTTTAAATATAAGAACCTGATATAAAAACATTTACAATTTTTATTCAGTCTAGGTATAATAAATTGGCTTATTATATTTGTGGAATTCTGGTCTAAAAGGTACGAAAGTATCTGTTGTGTAACTGCAATATATGTGTGTGTGTGTGTGTGTGTGTGTGTGTGCGCGCATATCTTTGGTTATTCGGGTTTTCTCCCGCGTCAAATTGGAAGTGTCTTGGCGACGATTCGACGAAGTCTCATTCGTCATCTTCAGGCTGGTGTTTTCGGCTTCGTGCTTCTAGGAGCATGAAACCGAAAACGCCAGCCTGAAGATGACGAATGAGACTTCGTCGAACGTCACCAAGACACTTCCAATTTGACGCGGGAGAAAACCCGAATAACCAAAGACCTACATACAAACACCCGCGAAAACCTCAGAAAACATATATATATACATACATACATACATACATATATATGATTTTAATTAGCACTATGCTATATTTGCATGCATGGGGGAGAAAAGCCATGCTTGGAAGGAAAAGTACACAGAAACTTGACCATGGAGGGAGAAAAGGTACAGTGAGTTTCTCAAAATAAACACAGAACACAAATGAATTGTCTGGGTTTACACTGCAATAAAGAATTGAGAAATGAGAAAGCTAAGGCCTAATTCAGAAGCAAGCTCAGGTCTGGGGACAGACTTTCAGATTACAAATCTAAAAAAGACTGTATCTGAGTTCCCTATTTTTTATGAAAACTACATTCTTTTGATCTAAATGAATTCTAATATAATTCAAATATCACATCAGACAAGTAACTACTCTAATGGACAATTTGAAAATCACAGACTATGTCAATAAGGGGGATAACAAACAGTCTCAAAAAATGTCATTTCTACTTCTAGTTTCCCGCCCCCTCCAAAAAAAATCCCAAATAAGCAATTGTCTCCAAAATGACCATTAGGTTCATTTTTTTGTCATAATTAAGTCTGGATACATTTGCAGACATAGAGAGGCTACAGATGGAAAGCAATGAAAACCTGATGAAGGAATCATTTTGTTTTCTCAAGAGTCCAGAGGTAGATACCTCCAGTAGTGTACAGATAGTCCTCAATTTAAGACCATAATTGAGCCCAAAGCTTTGGTTACTGAGACATTTGTTGAAGTGAATTTTACCCCATTTTACGACATTTCTTACCAGTTATTGTGAATCACTGCAGTTGTTAAATTAGTAACATAATTGTTAAGTGAATCTGGCTTCCCCATTGACTTTGTTTGTCAGAAGTTTGCAAAAAGTGGTCACATGACTCTGAGATACTGCAACCATCATAAATATGAGTCAATTGCCAAGCATCTGAATTTTGATCATGTGACTATCAGAATGCAGCAATGGTCATAAGTGTGAAAAATGATCATAAGTCACTTTTTTAATGCTGTTGTAACTTTGAACAGTCACTAAATGAACCTGTAAATATGTACCAATAGATTCTCAAGAAACTATGTTAATTATTTGGCTTGTAAGCTGAAGTATCTATAAAATGTTATTCTCAGAAATGGATGGAGAATGGGCCAAGGAAAAAGACTAGATACCTGCCACTCCCTCTCAACACGTCACTGCTTATATGCTTTATTCCACTGCAACAAGTGTCAGAGGAATGATGCACAAGTGCTGAGTCTTTGCCAGTTTCTGTAACATCTTATTGTATCCTCTAAAAATATTTAATATATAAAAGTAAAGCTTTTTTAGAAGTAGCAAAATTCTTTCCACCATCTTCCACCAGATTCAACTCCCAGAATTTCCAGCCAAGCAACTGATCTTATTCTACCACATATACAGACTGCTGAAAATTCTTGAAGTTAAAAGGTAGATGGGTTGAGAAAATATGCAGTAAACTTTGCTCTAAGTTTAGGCATTAGTAAACTGACCATTTTTGCCATTACTCTTACGATCAAAGTGGGCAGAACGTAGCAAATGAATTGATTATCATTTTGAAAGCTTTGAATAAACCGAGCATGGAGAAGGAGATATTCAACAAAAATAAAATGTGAGATGAGGAAAGATCATTCTAAATTTTAGAGAGGACATTTGAATCCAAATTTGACGAGCTGCAGTCACGAATAAATTATTAGGAAGCTGAAATTCCAAATGAGAGTTCTATAAACAAACATACAAATTTCTGTAAGAAACGTCAGAAAAAAGGGGAAAGGGGACAGAACAAAAGCGTACTTATGGCTAATAAACTACTTGTTAGGAGACAACTTAAGGGTTTGGAAATATGTAGGAAGAGGTTATCCCTATTTACATGATTTCAATATTCAAAGAGAAATGGGGCCACACCAAAGAAAAACATTCCAACTGTTCTTGCTCTACTACATATACATACTAATTCACTCCTCAGCCTAGACCATATTATCTGATTTCGAAGCCAATTACGAACCCAGCATTATAATTTACTCAGCAAACTATTACACCTTACCTTGATGTGTGAACCAGTTAGTCTGAGTTTACACATTCACTATACTCAAAATACTATAGAGCAGAAAAAATATATAACCTTCATTTTGATTATTTAACATTATGTGAAACATTTTGCTTTGTTTAACACTTCAATAGTTACAACAAGCCATAGCTTAGAAATGTTCAAATCAGCTACTGATTGAGGGGCATGGAGGAAATATAGCCAAAATCAAAACTGATGCTCCTCTAAAAAGTGTTGATCTTAAAAGTTTTTCCCATCTCTAGTCAATAGTTAAAACACAGAATGGAATCATGCTAATCTTTGTAGCTTTATAGCTGTGCTAGTACGACAGCTTCACTAATATTAAGGGCTACAAATTTTGCACTCCACATAATTTATTTCTGCCACTTCTCTTTTTTCACCCATGCTGTTTTACAATGTAATAACTTCCCCATGATAGGAATTGTGCTGCACACTACCTATAATATAGCTCATGGTAATGTTGGTAGGTAATTATATACGGTGAAATCCAACACATCAAGAGGGCACTAGATTGGAGAAAGCTATCTTAGATCATTTGCTAAAGATCATTTTGCTAATCTTACTTGCTCATATTTTTCTAATATCTAATATGAATACATTCTACCACTTAAATCACAAAAAAGTCTTGTTTCAATTTCCTGAATTTCTTCACATGATATCAGTGTGCAGATATGGAGTATTCACTCACGTCTTTCTTGTGATGTTTTTTACTCACTGGCAACCATTAGCACCATTTTTGCTCTCTATTCAAGACCCACTTTTTGTCACCAGTAATTTTTGACCCATAATTTCCTTTCGCCTGTTTTTACAGAGCCTTATAGTACTTTGCCTTCTTTGCCTTTCAAAGGTATCCCAATTTTTCCCAAAATTCTGTTTCTTCTGAAAATCACGCTAATATTATACACAACTAGACCTAAAACAATATAAATCTTAAGGCTGAGTTAAAAGAACAGCTCACCCAGCCCACAGAACTGCAAAAAGGAAGTAAACATATACAGGAAATATACAAAGTACACACTTTGTCAAACAGCAAATCAGTAACAAACAAAAGCACTATGGGGATTCTGGCCTTTTGACTGAATGCAGATATGTAACTTCTCCTGTTCCAGACTGGCTTTATCTGCCATGCTAAATCAAGATAATCCTGCAGTGTTCTCTTCTAAATAAAATTCAAATAATCTGTTCTTCTATGTTCTTCATTTCCTTTTCCATAGAATCAGTAATGAGTCTGAGACTATTGATTTAACCAAACTGTCTCCTCTCCAGTCTTGAAGATAAATGCATAAATAGGATTCTGATACAATGATAGCATCCTGAAAGCAATGCTTTAACCTGATATGTGTGTGAACTAACTCCCTGTTCTCCCAACAATATTTCCATTCTGTTGCAAAGGTGATGAATCATAGGGTAGAATTAGTGAAGCAACAAAAATGCAGGTGTTATGACAGTGTGGCTCAAGGATGTCCTAAAACATGTTACCAGAATACTGTTTCTCAAAACAGCAGGAAACTAGAGTCCATTGGTCAATGAAAGTTTTCTGCAGTGAGGCAGATATTATGACAGGTTTGAGAGGCAGAAGAGAAGAGAATGCAAGACAAAAACAAACACACAAGCTCTTTAGCTAATATGTACCAGTATTTGGAAATCTGATACCCTAGCAACCTTCTGTATGGACACTGACTCAATCAGATTTCAGCTTGCACAAAGAGAAACAGTATTTTCTCTGAATACAGATTAGCTTTAAAAATAGGTCACTTCTTTGCATTTTAAGGAGGATGGATACCAGTTCAACATTTTAAGGTCTGTATTTTAAACAATCATGTAGTGGGATATAGCATTTTCAGGCTACCAAAACTTATAAAACAATATTTTTCAATAACTGACTTGGAGGTATTTGGAACAATAATTTGCATCTTCCCTAACCAGTTGGTCATGTGAATGTTGATAATCATAGTCCAATCTACCTAGCAAACATTAGATTAAGTATCCTGAAACCACCATAGGATGACTTAGATGTTTTAACAATTAAAATATTAATGAGGTTTGCAGTTCATGAAATCTGTTCATTAATGACTTACCGATTCTTTTCTAGTTCATTGTGCGTAGACCTGAAAGATAAAGCAAGAAAAAGAAATCATTAGATACCTCTAGTCTAACTCATAAGCCCATTCTCATTAATACCTTTCTTTATTCTAGTGTCACGCAGATATATTAGCAGGTAATTCTCATCTTTCAAAGCAATTTGGGTAAGACCAAATTGAATGATGGCTGTCATAAACCTTGAGCAGTTTTTAATTCCCAATTCATATTCAAAAACGAAGCCAACCATACTGCTTGTAAGTAGTTTAATATTTACAACTGTATATCTTACTGCAAGATTCTAAGCTTTACAATTTATCTTCAGCTCAATAACAATTTGCTTATTGCTTCAGTCACTATTATTCTCTAGTATGAAGCAGTCCTGTCCAAATCATTGTATAAATATGATACTGTTTAAAATAATTAAACAATAAAGAAATACAAATAAATGAGAAAGCCTCTCATTATCCAACGTATTTTCTTACATTTAACTACTATATGTAATCATGTTGATAGATCATGAAAAAAAATTTAAAAAATCATGATTTTGTTTAAGCCGATTTACTCAACTTTGCAAGCAATCTGCAGGTTTCCAAATACATTTGCAGATTTTACTTTTTTATAGTAACATAGTGTATAACAACATAACGTAAAGTATGTAGAATTTGCCAAGCATCAATTATAAAGTACTAGAATTAAAAATATTTTCCTGCTTTAAAAAAGCTATACTGTTAATGAAGAATTCCAGGCTCAATGAGAATTTTCTGTGAATCAATAACTTCTAAAAACGGCAGTAAAAAAAGTGATGAAGGAATGCTAAGAGAAGTTTAAAAAAAACCAAAAAGAAACTTCAAAAATTAGTCAGAATTATTTTAATCTCACCATGAAGGTAATTCTCATCTTTCAAAGCAATTTGGGTAAGATGGAGGAATTTAGAAACTGTGGTTTTGAAGTGGAATAACTAATATTCTGATTTTATTCTTTAAATATATATACATATTCCTTACTAAGAGAAAAAATCAGATTTTAAACACAATTATCCGTCCATCACAACAGCAAGCAGCAATTTAAAAATATAAGCAGAAGGGACAAGATATTATGTCACCAAGGGAATAGCAAGGAGAAAAAGAGCATTTCTCTTTGTTGGGTTAGTCCAGGGATAGGCAACCTTGGCTCTTTTATGACTCGTGGACTTCAACTCCCAGAATTCCTGGCTCAGTTGAAGTCCACGAGTCATAAAAGAGCCAAGGTTGCCTACCCCTGAGTTAGACTGATCAATCTCAGAAATATCTTTCTCAATTTATTGGCCTGTCACAGTAACGTTCCTATTTAGTTCTAGTTCTGACCTAAAATTCTTGAGGCCCATTAATTACCACAATATTACACATATTTTGTTCAACTGCTAGGAAACAACAGTAACACTGTAAACTTAATAAAGCATGACCATTTATTGTATTCTTTATCATGCATGTGTACATTTTATGCATTTGGATTTTTAAATGTTTTGAAGCAGTGATTTTTTTATATCTGATAAATTTAAATGAAATTCTTTTGAATAATGCATCAAATGATAGTATTTAAAGACAAGAAAAATCTTCAGCATTACAACCATGTGCAGTGGAATCAAGCTATATATAAATCACAACTATGTATTAATAATTTTATTTACTCTTCATTCTTGCAGGAAACATCTCCTCTTTCTAGAGATTCCATTAAGGGCTACAAATTCTAGGCAAAGGACTGAATTCCTAGATTATAATCAAACCAGTCACCAAGGCTGGAGCTGAAAGAACAAAGTTCGGCCTACCACTGGGAACAAAATTAGAACAGCAGGCTCTCCTTTACTTCTTACATATGGGAGATTCTGTTACTTATCTTCCTTCCATCAAAACGCCATAAATGAGGAGGGATGCCATCTTGTCATGAAGTTTATTAATTTATACTGTGATTTAAAACCATACTAACATAAAATAAAATAGTATGAACTTTCCCACGTAGGAGGAGTGAAAAAGAAAAACTTCTGCAGCTGCTAAATATATCCTGTCAGACTACTACAAGGAACAATCCTTAAAATAGAAAACATTTTGAAATACATGTAGTGTTCTCCTTGGTAACTCAAAAGATAACCAATGTATTCTCCTCAGAAAATATGCTGTTTTTGTCTCATGCATCTTCATAATACATTTCTAACTAAAACTAAAATTAGAAGTCAACAATCTTACAAAGTTGTCTGATTAATAATCATTAAACAGAATAGTCTCTTCTTCTCAAGAAATTACACCCACCATCTCTAACCTAATGATGGTCTAATCTTCTCATAATAGGCCATGTCAGTTGAAGATGGAAGTCCAGCACCCTCATGGGTGCCAGCTTGTAATGTGCAAGAAAACAATAATTCACTTGTAAACTGTATTATATTCCAAGCAGACAATCAATGTTTCCATTTCACCAGCCACACCAAACTTCAGTGTTGTCATTACAATTCCTTCCTGTTTTATACTAAGCAGCTACAAACTCAAAAGCAAAGCTTCGTTAAGTAAGTTGTTTAATAGCCATCAAAGAGATCTTTCAAGTAAGCCACTCCCTGAAAATAAGATTCCTAATCTTTGGGCGTAATACTAACATGCTTCATGTTAAAGATGGAATTCAAATGAATATGCTGGGAGCATTAGACAGCACCAAAAAAAGCATATCTGAATCAACAGGAATTATCTGTAAGAAAATAAATATAGTTTAAGTAAACTATTAATCTATGGATTGCTCTATGAAATAAATAATAACAACATCCAAAGTTCTGCTATAGCCAAAGATTACTATGTTCTATGTCAGAGATTCCCAACCTTTTGGACACTAGGGACCAGGTCCATGGAGAAAGGTTTTTGGACTGGACAGTGCGTGGTTTTGTGTGCTGCCTGCATTCCGCAGATGGGGCTTTGCTTGTTTGTGCGATCCGGTTGCTAGCATGCTACAGCCCAGTACTAGTCCAATTTTTGTCTGGTAGATTTATAACCTACTTTTCTTTTAGGTGCTCAAGATCACATATACAGTGTTGTGTCTTAGATCCCCTAAAAGTACTTTTTGGCTAATGGAAAGACAGTTGTTGACTTAGCTGAAGAGTACAATAGATCTAATGAAATAAAAGATGTTCCTTTATCTGAAATCTGTAGGTTGTTTATAATTTAAACTGAATCTTTTTTTGCGATTGAATGACAAATGTGTTATGCTGAGAGTCAGTTTCCAGCATGTCCAATCAGTTATCTGTCTGAGTTTTTGAATAACCCCACTAACCTCTTTTGCTAAATATATATTTTTAATAATTCTAGAAATATCAATAGTTCCCACAAGCATACTAACACTTTGTCATTTTGGTGAATATGACATTCAAAGCACTGAACTTGTTACAATCATTCAACTATGCACTAAAAACTATCCCTCAATGGAGAGAAATATATTTCATTTTGCTTTGAAAATACAGGTAATTTTGCTTAGTAGTGGTCAATATTCCTTCTACTAAGGTTTCTCTTTTAAAAGTGGCAAGCAGCTTAATATTTTTGCATATCAGATAGTTGACAGAAAAATATTTGTCAAAGAAATTAAAATTAATTTAACTTTTCCTCTCTTCCCATATTTAGCACTCAGAACGGTGAATAAAGTTTTATTCTTGGCACATGTGAAGTAATTATCAATGTCAGAAAAATTCTTGTCCTACCACCATACTTAGGTTCAGTGAAGTAATGTCATTTAAAGCAGGGGTCCTCAACCCCCAGTCCGTGGACCTGCATTGGGCTGCAGCATGCCAGAAACCGTTCCATGCAAACAAGCAAAGCCCCATCTGCGGAATGCAGACCGTACATGAAACCACGCCCCCTCTGGTCAACGAAAAAACCTCTCTCCACAGAACCGGTCCCTGGTGCCCAAAAGGTTGGAAATCTCTAATTTAAAGAGAATTAGGAAGTTTGGAATTCTAAATCCTGAAGATATAATACCAGACACAAATAAAATGCAACACAATATGTATAATATATCCCTATAGACTGACTGCAGTACATCACTCAGTTGGTCATAAGAATTATTAGGATTTCTTGAACAGTTGTGTCAACTTATATTTCTGTTAACAACATATTATTGAAACATTATGATTTTCAGCATAAGCAAGATAATGTAAATAATACATATATTTAACCCAGTTTCTTATTTAAATAAAATATGTTTGTTTCTAGGGATGGAAAAATGACCTTTAGAGACACAGGTTCATGAATATCAAAGTTAACTCCTACAGAAGCTTGGAAAGTAATGCTTGGTGAATAAGTAAACAATTCTGTCAAGTGGTTGTAAGTCATAGGGAATCTTCTTAATTATCCTGAAATTCACTGAACTGCTCCAGATAATCTGGTAAAACTGAAATTAATCTAAAAATTGGAGTGGCAAAGAAAGTAGTTGGGGAGATTTTAATTCCTTTCTTTCTTGTTTAAAAATTTTTACTGTTTCAGCCATTTACTTCCCAGCAGCTTCTCTATAGGAACCTCTTCAAATGAGGAAAAAGAACCTACAGAAGAAAGCTTTGGGTAGAATAAGAATTATATAAATTCCTATTATTTTTAGTATGAAGTATAGTATGAAGGAAGAAAAATGCAAACAAGAAACAACGGGACAACAAGGACAAATATATCTAAAGAAGAATAATGGGGGGAAATGTAAATAATAGATTACTGTTACGAAATTGCTGTTAAAAAAAGGAGGAGCACACACTGTGTGTGTATGTGTGTTGTGTTATGTTTTGTTTTGTCTTGTTTTGTTGATTTAAAAAATAAAAAAAATAAAAAAGAATTCTATAAATTCCTCATCTTTAGTGGTTAAAAATCCTTCTACTCGTATGCCAGGGACATATTTATATTCAAAAGCACTTCCAATAATTTCTAGTTTATCTCTATAGCACAATAGCTTAGAGGACTCTTTCTGAGATCTTCTTGTCAGGAAATGGAAGGCAAACCCAAGCTAAGATATTATTTATAAGATAGTCCTAAAAAAA